TTAATTCCGCCAAAAAATCTATCCCGGCCTTTCATTACTCTAGCTAGAAAATTGCTAAACTGTTGATTTCCAACTGAGTAGATTAAACCAGCCACACGCTCTTAGCAGCCAATAGACCCCATGGTAACGGTTTGATGTACGAATCAGTTGGGGTCTCTATACACTACTGTCTAAACAAACGATACCGCAAAACTACAGGCAGCCCAATATATATATGTGTGCTGTTTTATGCGGCTGAAAAATCGTAAAATTTTAAACTGAAAAAATAAACATACCTTGGGTGGCGTTCGCGGCTAACGCGTCGTTTTCAGCGCTGTGAGTCCAACGGGTCGGGTCGCTGGTTCGAGACCTGTAGTCACCACATGTGAATTGAGTTTGTTTGATGTGTTGTTCTCTCCTATGCTACGAGGGTTTTTCTCTGGGTTCTCCGGTTTCCTCCCTCCATAAAAATCAACATGTGAGTTGAGTATTGTATGTTATAAATATAGAATGTAGTGGTAGTGCGTGTGGAGGGAACCTCACGGAAGAGCCCTGTTTGGGGAGTGGTGGTTGTAAAATATTATTATTATTATTAATATTAATATACCCGAAGCACCGCAGGCTCTGACAAATCAAAATTGGCCAGGACTTCATGCTGGATGAACCAGCTATAAGCATAGAGAACTGTTTTAACAATATGCCCGAAGCATTCAGGCTCTGACAAATCAAAATTGACCAGGACTTCATACTGGTTGAACCAGTTAAGCATAGAGAACTGTTAAATTCAATATACCCGAAACACTCAGGCTCTGTTAAATCAAAATTGGCCAGGACTTCATGCTGGATGAACCAGCTAAGTATAGAGAACAGTTACGCTCAATATGCCCGAAGCACTCAGTCTCTGTTAAATCAAAATTGGCCAGGACTTCATACTGGATGAACCAGCTAAGTAYATAGTATATTATTTACCTTTTCATCATTACTGTAAGTATATAAAACAGTTAAGTTCAATATACCAGAAACACTCAGGCTCTGTTAAATCAAAATTGGCCAGGACTTCATACTGGATGAACTAGCTAAGTATAGAGAACAGTTAAGTTCAATATACCAGAAGCACTCACTCAGGCTCTGTTAAATCAAAATTGGCCAGGACTTCATTCTGGGTGAACCAGCTAAGCATAAAGAACAGTTAAGTTCAATACACCAGAAGCATTCAGGCTCTGACAAATCAAAATTGACCAGGACTTCATGCTGGATGAACCAGCTAAGCATAAAGAACAGTTAAGTTCAATACACCAGAAGCACTTAGGCTCTGACAAATCAAAATTGACCAGGACTTCATGCTGTTCTACCTAAAGTAACTTATAGATTTAAACATGAGTGTTTATCCGGCCTTTGTGCTGTGTCTTACAGCAAACCATCAAGGATACGGAAATCTTTTTCTTCTTGGATAACAGCGTCAGTTGCATCAAGCCAACAGCAGCTTTCCACCAGTACGCCATCAAAGGGCCACCAAATTCACCAGAAACTAAAGTTGAATAGGTTTTAGAGAACAAATGTTTATTTCAAAAGCTCGAAACCTTTCATTAGCTTTATCATCAACCGCCAACCGGTTGGCTGCGAGTTGGTTGAGCTCGGACTTTGTGCGGGAGGTCGTGGTTCGAGTCCCGACCGGATAATTCTTCAGTTAGGTGGCTCGGATGACCACTTTAAATAGCAGTAATTCACAGCTCGACATAAAACGTCTTATTACTCGGGCTTTCAAAGAAATACCCGAGGTATAAATTGGGCTTTATTTGCGTTCTGTCACAAATCGCAGTTGCGTTCAAAGCGCATGCGCAAGTTCTACGCGCGTGCGTAGTATGCGCCACATAAGCACATGGTCGAGCAATGGCGGAATTTTTCAAGGTTTCGTCAGAAGGATGACAGTTTTCACGAAGAATTCTTTCGATTTTCTGCTATGAAGCCCGAGTTCACGCAGATATGCGTCTAGTATCCATTTAGAAAGAGCGCTATATAAATCATTATCATTAATCGTTTTATCATCTCTGACTTAGATTGCTTCTGTCAAATATTCCTTGCGTAGTCCGATAATTGATAATCRAACTTACGTCATTTACTACCACTAGTGACCAGATTCCCTCGCACACTTTCTTAAGGAAATACAAATTTGAATAACAAAGAAATTTCTTGAAGCATTTTGGTAGTGATAGTGAAATGAAGCCATCATGCAAATGGCCCAGGTCCGGTCTGTTCACGCCAAATTGAGATCTTGAAATATTGAAACCATTCAGATTATGACGTCAAACCTTAGCAACTGGTACCTGCTGTTTGCAAAGTTTGACCGGCTGCCGCTCGTTATAACTATGTCTATGGCTAGTGTTATCATCAATATTTTTGTTCGCAAGGGCTAGTATAAAACTTAATGTCGGCGTTTTTCTTTGAACTGCTTGCCAAACTGGGACGAAGACTGTCAGTGTTAGTATCCTGCTGTGTTTGGAACTTGGACGCTTTAGCTCTATTAGACATTTCGAGGTTAAGGAAAAACTGGGTTGAGTTGGCATAACAGTCGGCATTGAAGGATCATTTTAACGGACAATGATAATGGACGCCATCTTGGAAAAATGTCCCCTGAAACAGTCTCCCTTAACCTTGTCCTTAACCTTGGAATGGCAAAATACTTCATCAGCGAGAAACTAGCATTGCATACAATATTATGTAGTTCTTCTTTTTATTTTATATTTAAATAAGCGCTCGCTTTGTTGTCCAATTTAAATATTTTTTCCCCTTGAATATGATATTCATGTATAATCCACGGGCAGGTTACAAAAGTAATATCCACGAATTGAGATGCGTGAGGGCCAGTCCTCTACACTGATTCTTTTATGAAAGGATTAATATAAAGAATCCCATTTTACATGGCAAACGACTATCATAGAAGTAAGATAATATAAATAATGTTTAATTTGGCCTTTGCCTTTGGCTTTACCGCTTCAATCAGCGCGGCTCAACTGCTCAAGGGAACTTTCATATTGCCATATAGGTTGCTATCAATAGACGTCACTTCCGGTAATAGCTCTTTTTTGATGGCTTGTAGAATCCTGGAGGTTGTTTTGATCTCTTGTTTTCTGGTTTGATGTCGTAGAAATAGTCAAATACAATAGTTTGAGGACTTATTTTGATATGTTTTGACTTAGCATCCGCTAGTTGCCCCCCAGGCAACCGCTTGTTTGCCCCCACATCAACTCCAAAAAGTCACGTGATTGATAGTAAGCAATTGAGACTGATCCAAAGAGCTGAGATCAGAGCTTGCATGTTGTGGGCTCGACTCGAAAAAATACAACATACAAAGTGAATGTCATAATATATTAAACCAGCTTAGGAACGACCGAACAAAAAAGCATCAGGCTTTTGCTATGGTCCTGGAATTTGAATGGAATTTGCCTTGAATTTCTGAAGTTCCACACCAAAAAAAAGTTTCACGACGACATGCCACGCCGTGCAGTCGTCTATCGGAAGACGTAGTCAATATAGAAAGCTTCTACAGTATCGATTCTTCGAGGATCGCTTAAAACGATACAAAAAGTAATAACATTTGAGAAGTCAGAAATATTTTAATTGATTTTTTATTTTAATAAATGAATTTAGGTTTACTATTTCCTACTGAAATATAACTTTTTCATTATTGTCACGTCTCAAAACGATTCAAGCATCTACTTTGACGTATTCAATTTAGATGCCAAAAATACCTCGTATAGACTCTCCTCGTAAACAAACGCCCGAAAAGTAATTCGTCTGTCTCTCTACGCTTTTCTTTCAGTTATCTTGAATCGTCAACAAGGACATTATGTATGCATACTCTTTAATTTACTTATTATTGTCCTTCTCACAAAAGACTTCATCATCTTAATCGTAATTATGTTTAAGATAACGATCTAAGTGACACTTTTTTTCATGGGGATTTTTTTTTAAAGAAGTCAGTCGAATTCATCGGTTCTTCTTGATTTGGACTGTTTTCACATGCACTAAAGCTTTAATGACGGTTATTATTCTACTGTGGTAGCAATGACATCTACTTACATTTTTTTCTTGACATGCAAGCAAACCCGAAAAAAATATTATATTTAACATTTTTAAAAGTTCCCTTTTTATATTCTCACAACTGGCGGTTGTAAAAAATATTTGGCCGTTAATCTCATCAATTGATCAAGTCTATCTTTCAATGATTTCCAGCCAAGAAGCCTGCCTCAAATTGACATTGACGTTATTTAACTTTTCTTAATGAAGTCTTTTGTTCAAATCATTTTCACAAGGTCACTTGGATAATTTCAAAACGTTCTCAGTCGACAGGTGCAACACAGTTTCAGAGCTCATTTATTTACAATTAAATGGGTTCTCGCAGAAGAGAATAGCCAATCAGATGAGCCATTGACTTATGAATGACATAGGGAAAGTAGTGGCCATTTAACTCTTAACGTTCGCTATATTGTTAAAAAAGATTCCAAGTCAGGCCGTTGTTTTTACCCGACTCCAAGACATCGTTCATAAATTGGAGGTAAATTATTATTTTTAAACACTTATGATCCCATACCAATTTACGGTTCAGGAAATGCCTCTTAATTTCATTGATAAAAATATCGATAAAATTATTGCCAGGGTTCGAGAATTTTGAAGAAAAAATGGAATCTCCAAATCTAACAGAAATCGCCAAAAATCCATATGCAAAGAACAGTGTTACCTCAATAGTGCACAGAATGAAAATTGCAAAATCTCGTGAGGACAGAGTGGTTCTATACTAAATTCTGTGGCTCTAGATGTAGAACGGTTTTGAATCTTTATTTTTCGTGAACTACATAACGGATTTAGTACTAGATGTAACGCGAATAGCGAATCACTGCATAATATAAAATATTAAGACAAAACTGAAAAAAGTAAGCTTCATACAGTCATTAGAAAATGGCTTCAAAGTTTGTCAAACCTAGTTTTTATTGATTAAAGGCTCTCGTTAAAATTTACCTGGACACTTTATTGCAATTCCATTCAGCGTGTTAGTCAAACCTTTTTGGCAGTGAATCAGTCGCAAAGCATATTTATTAAAAAACTTAACACCAGGGTGACCAAAATCGAAAATAAATGAAGCAAGACATATTTGGAAGAAGATAAGTAAGATGCTTATGAAGCGCTTACAAAATATCGAGAACGTAACAATACAGAGTTAAAATTTAGAAAAGCTTCCTATATATCATTCTTATGTACTCGTTATCTGTATTCCTGATGGACAATATGCTTAAATGTCGTTTTTTTTAGATGATAAAAAAGTCAATTTGCCTCAAAATGTGTAGAATAATTGCAGACAAGCGTAAAATTGTTCCCAATTTTTTTCGTGCAGTCGTATCTTTTGACCCAATAAGCCCATATTTCCTATCTAATCAAACTTTTTTCTTTTCAATTCTTCAACTGATTGTTTGATTAAATATTGTTATCAACACTTGTCAGTCTTTATCAATTTCTACTATTGTTTCAGGAGTAGCAGCAAGAGTCGAACTAAAACAAGTCAAAACAAAGCTAAAAAGAAAATGTCGTCAACTAAAAAGCCAACGTTATCATCAGTCGTGAATTGCGTACGAAAAATACGGAAAATGGCCGCGCGAAACGAACTACAAATCCCTCGAGAAGACTTAATAGCAATTCTCAAACCTATATACATTGTCTCGTCATTTATTGGACACAGAAATAAAAACTACCATCCATGGCTTGGAAAGTTTGGACTTGTTTTATGGATTTCAAATATTGTGATCCACTTTTCGTTGGATTTTTACGACGCTCACTATAAATACGGTTGGGCATGGGCGACGGCCATAGCCGTGTTTATGATTTCGTTCGTCTCAGGTACTTATATTATCATAAGAGACACTATACCGTGGATTGAAGATGCTTTGGAAATTTTGTACGTGGATGGGAACTTTACAGAAACCTTAGAAAAAGCTCGCAAACTCGCCAAGGTAGGTAATTAAATGGTAAGATCGGTATGAATTAAAAACTTTGTTTGATGAAGGAAATTTTTCAAGTTAAATATTGAGATAAAACTGTCTTTGTAACTGACGCACTTAACCTAAAGAGATGGCGGGTGTGATGAGGGATTTAGAACGCCGACGGATTGAGCAGGTTTTGCGGAACTTTTGAATTTAGCAGTTTTAATATAAAAGATCGGCTGGAAAATATATTTGTCTGATCGATGTGCGGCGGGATTATTTTTGTAACCGTTCAAGCTGTCCAAACCGTCAATAATGAAAATAAAGCGTTTCAAAAGCACCCGTGTGCATGATGGCCATCCCAAAGAGCTAAAGTTTCTATTATGGGAAAAAATCGTTCCCGCTAATCTTTTTTCCAAATAACCGTTCAAAAATCGTGCTCTTATAGAAAACTAATTAAACATTATTCCCATCGCCCGCTAATCTTTTTTGAAATAACCTGAAAATCCAAGGTCTTATAGAAAACGAATAAAGTATTTTTTAGCTTTTCGAAATCTAAATTTGATCATCATGTAAACTTTAGAAAACATTTATCTTTTTAAGACATTTTTTTGAGATTTCCTTATTTCAAAAGTTCGAAATTCAAGCGCATATAACGAATGCTATGCCAGTAAACTGATTACAATAATCAGTTCAGAAATTATCGTTCACTTTGCGTTAAATTTTAAGTACTTTATCTTGATTATCACAAACGTTTAATATAAGAAGTAATTATTCTTTTAACGCTTACTAACGAACAGAGTTACATACTTTATTCCAGGCTATTTTCATTCGTTTTTGCCTACCCCATTTCTGGAGGGATCTATAATTGTCGTTAACTTTTTGGTTGTAAAGTCAGTCTTTTCCTCCCTCGTTTCTTGGATTTAGTTCTTATTTAATTTATCAATATTTGTCGTTGTTTTTTGGGGGGTTGTAAATTCAGTTTTCCTCTATTGTTTTAGGAGCGCGAATTAATCTTTTCCCTCACTCTTTGTCGGTGAATCTTTTTACTTTCAAGTTTGACTATTTCAAGCTAGCATCTCCCATGTTTAGTGAAATCGGAACAACTTAATCCCACAACAAAAACCCAGTAACCCTTTTGTGTTTTTTTCCTGCTAAAAATTCACATCGAATCACAGTACAAGCATGAGATTAAGTCCTCTTTTTGTCAGATAATTTTATTGCGAACTTTAGAAGGGAAAACCGCAAAGAAATCTTATTACAGACGCGCGATAATCTAACGGCAAAAATAAACATTCGAAAAAAATACAAGACTTGAAGATTATTATTTACTAAATGTTTGACATATGCTTGACTTTTCCCATATTTCAAAAGTATTATTTACTCTATCTAAATTTAGTTTGTTTTGAACAAAAACAATATTATTAAATAGTATTTTTCTTCACTGATGTGTTTTAAGGTTTTAAAAAATTCAGCGTTCAGAAACACGGCTTTCAAGACTTTTTTACAGCTGACTTCAAGATTACAAATTTGTCATCATCTTTTCCTATAAATTCGATTTAAGTTGAGGGCTTTTGTTAAATCCATGATATTCAAAAAAACCAAGAGAGTTGAAAATGGCCTCTAGAGGTTTCGAAAATAACTAATGATAAATACAAAAATATTCGTATTTATGAGATTATTTTATCGAGAACATTTCATCAGCATTGATTCCTTCATTATTATCAGTCTTGATCAGAAATCATTAAACGAATCAAACTTACTATGGCTTATCAGTCTATTTGATTTTCATTTCAACTATTGACACAAAAAGTCCAAACAAAATGAGACAGAAATTTTTTAAGACCTAAAATGAAGAAGATTTTACATTTTGGATTTGCCTTTTTTTTGACCCTGAGGCAATACCATTAGCTTCTGTTATTTCCAGAAACAGAAATGCGGGGAACTACTTAGACAATTCATTGAAGGTGATAATTTTTATGTAATTTAAAAAACGCCATGCGTAGAAAAAACATTTTTCGGCTGACGTCATTCCTATTTACCTATTTAGTTCCATTTCAGTTTGCTGATGAAAAATGATAATAACTCCCTTTCATTTTTATGCTACAAACAATGGAATATTTACAATGTTTTTTCCGTTTTAATCTCCATGGGAAGGAGCTTCTGTGGTCGGTTCAAGTTTTAAGAAAAATCAGAAAAATCAGTCCTTATCGTTAAGTATTTCCCACATCACGTACGCAGTACGGTATTTTAATTTCTAACACCAAAAACGTTTTTTAACTTCCAGTTCTAAGAAGTTATGACTAATATTATGAAAGAGTGCAGATTAGTACGCTTTTACCATTCCGGATTATTGCCCTGTAAACACTCAACTCGTAAATGTGAAACAGTTGAAACACTGAAATGGCTTCCCAAGACTTGTTTTCTTTACATTTATTGTTTTCTCTTCATTTATTGTTTTCTTTTCATTCATGCAATAAAAAGCACATGCTAAGAAGTTAGGTTTATAGTAGGAAAGACTTTATGGCTACA